CTGACGTTGTTCGGGAGGTCGGTGCGCAGCACCCAGTCATAGCCGATGTTCCACAGGAGCGGCCCCAAAACCGAACCCTGTGGAACACCGCGCGACGTCTCTCGTCGGTTCCACTCACCTCGGTGACCGGGGTAAATGACGGACCGTTCCGTCAGGTATGCCTCGATTACACGACGGAGATAGGTGGGCACCCGATGATATCGAAGTGCCTCCAAAATGCAGCTCCAGGGCAGGGAGTTGAAGGCATTGGCGATGTCCAAGGACACCGCCACTACGACCTTACCCCTGGACACTGCAGTCCCCGTCGTGAGGTCTCTTACACGCATGATGGCGTCCACCGTGGAACGCCCTCTGCGGAAGCCGAACTGGCCGTCCGACAGGTCCGGCCCAACATCCGACAGGTGCGCGACGAGGCGGTTCGAAATGATCCTTTCGAAAACTTTTCCCACCTCGTCGAGCAACACGATGGGCCGGTACGCAGACGGAGAGTCCGCAGGGCGCCCCGGCTTCTTCACTAGGACCAATTTACCCGCCTTCCACAATTGCGGGAACTGGCCCCTCTCCAAGCATGCGCTGTAGAGACCAATTAATCGAGGCTCGAGAGCCTCCGAGGCCAGGACCCACGCCTTGCCGTGCAGTCCGTCGGGTCCCGGGGCGGTGTTCTTGGCGCCCATCCGGCGCACCGCCGCTCTCAACTCGGCCTCGGTCACCTCCGAAACTGTGTCGCCGTCGTCTTCGCTGTGGCCCGCATAGGGCACCGCAGGGGGCGGAGTCATGGACGGAGGGGTGAAACCCCTCTGTAGTCGGGGGAACAAGGCGCCGACCACCTCCTCCACTACCTCTGGATGCTCATAGCATAGCCTAAATTTGACTTCTAAATTCTAAAGAAGAAGTTCTTCTTTTATATAGGTATATATTTATAATATATATATTTATATATAATATATAAAATACTTCATCAGTACTAAAAAAATAAAATATCCTTCATTTATTTATTGGGCAAGCAAGCAAAATAAATATTAGATGCTACCTAGGTACGGTATCCTACTCGCTAATTTGACACCTGACTACCTATGTTCTGATATTTGTCAGATAAAAACTAAATGCCAAAGTCCAAGGGAAGGGATTACTGTAAATGTCAACAAATGATATACCGGTGTCATTACTCATTCATATCTTTGGGAATGGATCCCATTAACCCTCGCTAAAATACTTTGAGTTATATCTTGATGCTTTGGATTTTTGCTATAAAAGTATAATTTAAAACGATATTATATGTATGATATTGTTTGATTGACATTATAACGATGATAAAGATTTTAATTAAAATAGGGGTAATACCATTATCGGGAATAGGCAAAGATGCACTTTATACAGAGTGTGAACCCTCCCGTATGCTCACAAAAAGGAATTGTTTCTATTTTCGTACCAGCTTCTACCCGCGACTTCGTACGCGCAATCCCGTTTCCTCCCGTTCCGATATCTGTCGTACATAAGAACCTTCTCCTGAAAATAACACACAACAAAAAAAAGATCGGCCAAATCGGTGTAGCCGTTCTCAAGTTATGGCGTAACAACGGGAAACGGGGTTTCATTTTTATATGTATATATATAGAAGATTATTACAACATTAGCCTTGAGTAGTCGATTACAACTATTGTTACATATGTATAAGAATAATTAAATTTTTTACTTTTACGAAAATATAAACTTGTGTTTTACGTTACGGTACACTTGTCGGTGTTTTTCGAGACCGTTCTGTTTACATCCTGGGAGCAATGTAACACAATAGGCATGGCGACTATTTTTTAATTTTTTGTCCGTCTTTTAGATATTTTAAAAATCTTCGATACGTATTTTTTCTTTTTTCTCGTATCCATAAAAACATGTAGATATTTTGAGTTAAAATGACGCGTGACGTCACAATTAGGTACGATTTCTCCGTAAGTGTGACGTCAACACCCCCCACTCCCTAACTTTAATGCGGAATATCTACGTATTCTTCTGTTAATTTGATAAAACAAAAAATACGTGTCTGATATTTTCGTGCGATCTTAATGACGGACTACTTACTTTTTTGATTGTTTTACCCTGTCGACACGCCTATTACCATACACTGGACACAATTCCAAACTCCAAGTTGTTATTAAGAATAAAAAAACTTAATAGAACTCAGCAGTCACATTTACGATTTTTTTAACAGTATTCAAAAATTAAAAATGTTTATTTGACACGGTCTTTTCAATGTCTAAATCGGAACTTAACTTTTTTAAAATTCCTACACCAGGAATGGCAGTATATATATGATTCCATATTTATTGTAAGATCTTCGTGTACCGGATTCGGAGGGTAGGTGTTCAAAGTGAAAGACACAGGGAAAGCGTCTCTCCCAAAATAAATAATTTTATTTATTTTTAAAAATAGTATTTATCACCATAAGTACTCACTGAAAGGCACTACCTGCTGGCTTAGTGTATTACGACATTTCTAAACCTAAAAGACTACCTCTGCATTAAACTTTACACAACATGAACGCGGTGGAGGCACTTAGTGGAACACTGGCTGAGATGAGGGCGGAATTCAGAGAACGAATGTCAAGATTTGAGGCGGGGCACTGCAGTACACCATCAAAGCTTGCATCTGGTGGCACCTCAGGTCTGGCACAGGACTACTGGGCCTTCAAGCGGTTCACTCTTGATGCCCTTGAGTGCCTGCAGCGGCAGATGGAGTTCTTTGCCCGTGACATGGATGAGCAGGAGATGAGAGGCCGCAGAAAGATGCTACTGATCCACGGAGTTCCTGAGAACAGCAATGAGAATACATCAGTGGTGGTTGCAAGTGTGATCCAGGAAAAGCTCGGTATGGGGAACCTCGGTACCTCTGATGTCCGTAGATGTCGCCGGGTCGGCAGTTTCGCCAACAAATCCAAGCCCAGACCCATATTGGTGAAGATGCAGGACGTGGATACCCGAGACAAGGTGTGGTATGGCAAAACCAAGCTCAAGGGTACAGGCATCACTTTGTCCGAGTTCCTTACGAAGACGCGACACCAGGTCTTCATGGCGGCGCGAGATAAGTTCGGTGTGGCGAACTGCTGGACTAAGGGGGGCCACATCTATGTTCTGGGACCGGATGGCATCAGACACCGCATACTGAGTCTCGGCGAGTTGCGTGCGATCGGCGAGCCTGCAGCAGTCACCGAGCAGTCTCCTGCAGCAGTCCCCGAGCGATCTCCTGCGGCTGTGGCTCGGAGGGGGAAGCGCGGCGCCAATAAAAAGTGACCCCATTGATCTTGCTTCGTTCGGGTAACAAATCCATTTTTATTACCTTTGTTTGTAGCAACAACTCCAATACCCTCACAATATATTTATTTCTATTTAATGTATTCATTGCGTATCACCTCCCAAAACTTATAAATTGTATTTTACCCTTTAATTAATATACCTAATTAACTTCTTTATTTTTGTTCACTTAGCAATAAATTTCATAAACTTCACCTTGTGAGTTTTCGAATGTTTACTGTTTCTGACGTTTGACACTTCTTGTCAAGCGTCAAGTTAATAGTTGCGTTCTAGGTTTGACATCGGATGCGTGAATTGTCTATGAAACCATAGACAACATCAATGCAGATGATGTTAAATAACATTATTTTATATGTATATATGTACAAATTATCATTAATTTTATCCCTTTGCTCTTTTAGATCTTATTTTATTTTATCCTATTTCTCTTTTTGATATATATATATTTGTTGTTACATCTACTTATTATTATTTATTTTTTTTTTATTTTTTTTTTCATCTCTTTTCTCCTTGGCTAAATTAAATATTTTGAACTGTGATTTTTACCCGAGCGAAGTATTGTGTTGTGAGATAGTCGTAGATTCTATCTTTAAATTATAACACGCAGCCGGCGGGTGGACCTGAGCGATACGTGCACATAGGTACCACTTTATACATTTTTTATTTTATTTTATTTTTTTATTATTTATTTTAGATATATTATATATTTTATCACTTATAATATTTTATTAAATAATACTGAATGATGAATAGCTACATGCAGAGTGTCGATGAAAGTTTTACTTCTGCGAATACTGATAATGACAGCTTTACAAGTTTACCATCTCTTGCTGATACTCTTGAGTCCCTTTTCTCCGATGTACCAAAAAATCTTAATGTAGTCCATATAAATGCACAGAGTATTCCAGCTCATTACCACGATATGCTGGCGAACCTTGACTGTAAGAATATTCATGCTATCCTTGTCTCTGAATCTTGGTTAAAACCTTGTCTTCCTTCCACTTCCTACTCTCTACCTGGATACCAGTTGATAAGAAATGATCGCACGGGCTGCGGCGGTGGCGGGGTTGCCATATATCTTCGAGCAAATATTTCCTATAAAATAATTGATATGTCACCACAGCCTCCGCCGCGGAACGCTGGCGAGCATCTCTTCTTGGAACTAACACTGCGACATTCCAGAGTATTGCTCGGTGTCTATTACTGTCCTTCACTACGTGTTGACTATTTTTCCTCTTTTGAAAATCTACTTCTGAACTTAACTCCCTCTTACAGTCACAGCATAATAATGGGTGACTTTAACACCTGTCTTCTGAAACAAGATTCCCGCTCCTCTTCACTTCAATCCATTGCTCAATCACTCAACTTGTCTATTCTTCCCTTGGGTGCCACTCACCACTTTCCTAACTGTTCACCTTCTCTTCTTGATCTTATCCTTGTCTCGTCCGATCAACACGTTGTCAAGCACGGACAATGTTCTGCTGACAATTTTTCCTATCATGACTTAATCTTTCTTTCGTACAAAATCTGTCCTCCTAAATCTAAACCCAAAACTCTCTTTCAGCGCAATTTTAGTGGTATGGACCATGATAGGCTTCGTGAGGATGCCCGCAACATTGACTGGTCTAAGCTCCTTGCCGCTGACGCAATTGATGAGAAAATTAATGTCTTTAATAACAAGCTCATTGAGTTGTATGACATTCATGCTCCAATACGACCAGTTAAAATGAAGCATGTACCTGCACCGTGGTTAACGGATGACCTGAAGGTCGTGATTCATAAGAAGGCAGCGGCAAAGGCCAAATTTAAACGCCAACCTAATCCGGGGAATCGCGAAGAGTACATTGCAGCCCGGAATCGTAGCAACAAGATGTGTAGGGATGCACAACGCCGCCATATTCATAAGTCAGTAGAAAACGGCGATCCGGCCAAGGTCTGGACATTTCTAAAAAGTATGGGAGTTGGCAAACAGCGTCAGAATGACGTTTCTGGGAACTTGGATTTTGAATCCCTAAATAAGCACTTTTCTTCTTCCCCTTACATTAATGGGTTTATCAAATCCAAAACCTTAAAACATCTTTCTTCCCTTCCTGCTCCCGACTATCCACCATTTTTCTTCAATCAATTCACAGCTTGTGGTGTTAGGAAGAGTGTAATTTCCATCAGTTCCAATGCGGTAGGGACTGACTGCATCAGTCGCAAAATGATACTCCCTGTCTTGGATGAGATCCTTCCTGTCATCTGCCACATCCTTAACTATTCTCTGTCCAGCAGCGTCTTCCCTTCTGCATGGAAGGAAGCGCAGGTTACACCACTTCCTAAAAAACCTAATCCAGAATCCTTTTCCGACTATCGCCCTATTTCTATTTTACCCTTCCTTTCTAAAGTTCTGGAACGTCTTATTTATAACCAGCTAAGCGCTTTCCTTACCAAACACAGTCTCCTTAATCCTTACCAATCCGGGTTTCGTCCGGGACATAGTACCACTACGGCTCTAGTCCATATCACTGATGACATACGATCCGGTGTTGAAAACGGCAATCTAACTCTGCTCACCTTGCTAGACTTCAGCAATGCTTTCAACACCGTTGATTTTGATATACTGCTTGGAATATTGGACTCTCTTAACATATCTGCAACTGTGATTGATTTCTTTCGTAGTTACCTGTGTGGCCGCCGGCAGCGTGTCGCCATAGAGGGTTCATACTCTTCCTGGTCTGATACGGCTGCTGGCGTACCGCAGGGGGGCGTTCTTTCTCCTCTACTCTTCGCAATTTTTATAAATTCCATTTCTAATGAACTTCTGTCTTCCTACCACTTGTATGCCGACGATCTGCAAATTTACTCACAAGCACCTCCTAATGAATTCTCCGAGGCAGTAAAGATGGTGAATACGGACTTGGCACGAATCTCGGAATGGAGTACGACCTATGGTTTGAAAGTTAACCCCGCGAAAACACAGGTCATTGTTGTCGGTAGCCCCCGCTTACGCTGTAAAATTATGTGGTCGCAGATCCCTTCAATTATTTTTAATGGTACCACAATCCCATACAGTGACACAGTAAAAGACTTGGGTATTGTCATGGACCGAGACTTCACTTGGGAACCTCAACTGAAACAAGTAAGTCGGAAAATGTTTGCGTCTGCGAAGTCTTTGCGTAGACTTCGGAACTTTCTTCCGACTGCTACTAAAATTGCGCTTACTCAATCACTTCTTCTTCCCATCCTCGATTATGCTGACGTCAGCTATCCAGATCTTACCGAAGTGCAGCTAGATAAACTTGAGCGACTCCAAAATTTTAGTATACGGTTTATATTTGGTTTACGCAAATATGATCATATTTCCGAATATCGCGCTAAACTCAAGTGGCTGCCGATCCGCCTTCGCCGGGATACTCATATCTTATCCTTACTCTACAGTATACTGTTTAATCCTACTACCCCCCACTATCTCAAAGAACGTTTCCAGTTCTACCATGACACACATTCTAGACCAGTACGGTCGTCGGAGGATATGAAGCTTGAGATGCCCCAGCATGCGAGCAGATCATTCGACAGATCGTTTACAGTACGAGCTGTTCGACTGTGGAATGCTCTGCCACTTTCTGTCAGACAAGCAGAATCACTTGTTAGGTTCAAAGCACTCGTGAAAAACCATTATCTCTCCACGTTGTAGTCCATTACTATTTCTTTTTGTTTCTTCTTTTACTGTCACCTATTCATCATCTGTACTATATTTTTATTTATGTATTAATGTATATATATATATATATGTATATATGTTGTATGTATAGATATTTATATGGGTATGTTTGTATGTATAAGGTCTTATGTAAGTATTATATTTTATTTTAAATATACTATTTATTTAGAGAATATATATTTTACTTGTAAAAATAATTTATAAGTACCTGAGTACACCAAGAACAACCTCCACTTTCATTCAATAATGCTCCATTCACCCAAAGGTTGCCTGGTAGAGATCGCTATTAGTGATAAGGCCGCCTTTGTACCCTACTATTTTTTATTATAACGTTAATGTATATTCCATTTATTTAAGGTGTACAATAAAGGTTATTATTATTATTATTATTATTATACTTAGAAATAAATATATCTAAAAAAAACTGCATTACAAATTACAGTTACAATTACATATAAATTACAAAAAATAAAAAACACCCGTCTCACTTTTATACCTCTATACCTACATCTTAATTAAAACCACTAAGGCTGGTTTTACAGTCACGCCGCTAGACGCGCCGTTGGACAGCGCGCTGTTGGACAGCGCGCGTTTGAACAGCGGTGCACCATAAAACGACATTAGTACGGCGCGTTTCGCTGCTGTGAGACAGTCGTGTACAAACAGATACAAAATGAACGGCAATGCGGTTAGAGTACTGGCTATTTACTTTTTATGGAAAAAAAGGCAACAAAAACGTCGAAGAACAGTAGGTGTTGATCCTTATAACGCTACAAGGTTACTGAGAGGCGAACACGTAACATCTTTCTCTGATTTACGAGAAAATAGTTATAAATTTTATAAATATTTTCGCCTATCAACCAGCAGTTTCGACGAATTACTGTGCAAGTTAGAGTTTTCTTTACGAAGATCCAGCATACGTCGCATCCCCATAGCTCCAGTGGAAAAATTGGCGATTACTCTAAGGTAAGTGAAATAAATTTCTTCCCAGGCTTTATTTTTTGCGTCCTTATTCTTATAAAAATCATCGGCCGGGTCCCATAAACATCTTCTAATACGCACTTCGTCAATTACTCGACCCGTATCGATGTGATTCATTTTGTACACAACAGTACCTAACGGCACGTCTCAACGGCGTGAGACTAAAACGCACAATGGCCGTAGAAGCGCACGAGCGGCGCGCGCTTCGACCGCGCCGCGCGAATAGGACGCGTTCAACGAACGGCGCTGCTCAAGCGCGCGAATTTGAAACGCTACTAATACCCCAATACATATCCGAGCGCGCGCGCTCCGACGGCGCTGCCGAAACGCGTGACTGTAAAACCAGCCTAACAATATAAAAGGTCGTACGTCCATATCCACCATCGTTTCACAATTAAAAACCTTAATTACGCAACAATAAGATTGACTATAGCTTCAATAAAACGGATATTGCCTTCAATTTCATTTTAAATTTAAATTAAGAAATAAAACCAACATGGTGGAAACATAAAT